CTGCCCCGCTCGGGTGGGGAAGGGAGCGGGGCGGTACGGCAAGGAGGGAACCGGCCTTGGCCTGACGCTTTTCTCCTCAGGATTGGTCCAAAGGAGGATTTTTTCCACTGTTCAAAATGCAATTTATGCTTAAGCTTGAGTCTTCGAGGAAAGCACAAGGTAAGAATGCACCAGTTAACTGCATATCTTAAAAAAAAACAAAAAACAAAAAAACAAACCACCTTGAAAACGAAAGCCGATAGTGCCTCGGCTCCGTCCAAGGCCATACGGACAGGGGGAGTGGCAGGTTCTTTTTCTCGGAGTGCACCTAACAGCAACACAGAGCGCTCCTGGGCTGGCTTCGCTAGCAGTTGAAGCTATAGGAAATAAACATCTTGGTCTCCTTCTTCTCTTTTAAAAGGAGCTGTTGATTGCAGATCTGACAAGCGTGTAAGTTTGAGCTCCTGTTCCTGCTGCAGTATAGGAAAAGCTAGGCTGCTTGCCGCTGCGGGAGTTCTGGGAGCCCTTTTCTTATGTATGCTTTCAAGCTGTTGGTTTTTTAATATGCTAAGCCAGCTGTTAATTCTCAGAAGTTCAAACCTAAATGCAAACAGTAACGTTTCGTACATCTTTTTTACCATTCTGAGGCAATTCTAGAATTTAGAAAAATACAGATATCCATGCAGTAGGATAACTTTTTTTTTTTTTGTCTTTGTAAAGTGTATTGAAAATGTCTCCAGGCAGGACTGTCCGATATGTTTGGAGGTGAGCTGCTGCTTTTCATCTCGTGGATTTGTGTGTGTGGCTGTATTTTTGACTGTGTTTGAATTAATTTTCTTGTCTTTTGTCCGATACTTGCTTCGAAACAGGATATTCACACATCTCGCGTTGGAGCTCATGTTCTGCCGTGTGGTCACCTTCTTCACAGGTAGAGCATTGCAGATACTTGAGAAAGGGGAATAGCTGCTGCCTTGTGTGTGGCGTTTATTCAGCGGCACTACAGGCCTGGTTAGTCTGTATCAGCTGCTTACAGCTGGTTTCTAAGGGAGCCACGCCGTAGGGGTTAGTCTCCGTTTCATCAGGAAATACTTTCTTTAGAAGTATTGCAGTACTACAGTCGTCTTTCTGCAGTAAATTGTGGCGGAGGGACCTGTGCACTGTTCATTCTAAATTTTCTCATGGTGAATTTCCTTCTGTTGCTACTTAAATTTCAAGAATCCTGTAGAGAAGGCCCTCCTTGGTGCAGAAAGCAGTTGCACAGTGGTTTTAAGAGGTTGGTGACAGCTCATCAGTTAAGTTTTGGATTCTTTCCTTAAAACAGCCCCCCCAGGACAATGGAGTGCTCTGTTGCGCTACAAAAACTGCTGGCTCTATCGGGTTTTTGAAGCGATGTGATATATAGCAGTGGGTGCCTTTGGAGGAATAATTACCACATTTCCCTTCCGTTTTCCCTTTCTGCTTCTGTCTTGTGTTACAGACGCAGCTTTTTGTTACTCTGTTGGCTCTGTTGTTTTTCCCCCCGTTGTCTCTGCGCGTTAAGTGAATGGCCTCTGTGTTTGACGTAGGTCGTCTCAGACTGAATCTTCCTTCAACTCCTGTCCATCTTAAACTTACCTTGTGATGCATCACACTCCATTTTTTCAGCAAACTTGAACGACACAATCCTTGTCTAGTGTTGACTCTGTTCCCTCGTGTTAGGTTAGAAGACCTTAGAATGGAATCAGATGTGCTTTGTCTCTGGATTTTTGCCTAAGTACCCGGTGGTTTTGATGGGAAGCTTTCTTCTCGGTTGGACTCGGGATATTTTTTAACTTCTGGTTTTGGGGATAGCTGTGTGCCTTTTCCCTTTGTTCAGTCCAAGTGTGTTACCAGTTGGTAATTGCATTCTTCTTATTGAACTTCTCATTATGTTTTCTTTTCAGAACATGTTACGAGGACATGCTAAAGGAGTAAGTATTTCTAAACATCTCTTCTCTCAATATTGTTGTAGTCCAAACAGATCACTCCAAGAGGCAACGATCACCATGCCAATCCTGTACCAAATAACTGAAAGCCAACTCCTAAAGGGATAAGGGGCTTTTAATTTTCAATTGTTTGCAAGAACTTCTTGATTCGTGGTGTTTCTCTTTGACTGGTATGACATGAAACTTGTGCTTTTGAGTGGACTTGTTTCACAGCCTCGCTCCATCTTCTGATTTAGACTCTTTTTTTTTTTTTCCTTTCTGCCAGAGGTTACAGGTGTCCTTTGTGCATGCACTCGGCTCTAGATATGACAAGGTACTGGCGTCAGCTGGATGACGAAGTAGCGCAGACTCCTATGCCCACAGAGTATCAGAACATGATGGTGGAGGTAAGAGATGAGACTTGCACCGATGTCTCTCTTCCTGGCAGATCCGTGCCTTTGCATTGCTGGCAGTAGAGGGCACTAGGGACTTGTCCTGGATCAGAAGTCAACCTGACGGTTAGGGAATGATGAAGAAATGTCGTGTGTAGGCTTACAGCATTCATCTACTGGGTTGATAAACACCAAAAAAAAAAAAGCACACACACCCCCACCCGCACTCCAAAAAGAAGAAAAGAAACCAACCCCAAAACCACAACCTCTTAGTGTTGTAGTATCACACAGCGGAGAAATGGCTTGGTCTCTGGGAGCATCTTGCTTTCCCCAGTAGCGTTAAGCGCTGTCGTAGCAAAAAGCAGGAACGGTTGTGTTTTAACAGCTTGGAGCTTCATGTTCCACACTAAACACGGTGGGTTTTCTGCAGAAATATTCAGCTGTTGGATTTGTGCAAGGCTAGCACATAGAGACGTCTTCTGTTTTCTTTCTGTTTCTTTGTGTTAACTCGGAACTGTGAAACTGGTTGCTGTTTGCAGGTGACACTGAGTTAAACAGCACTGGTCGTTAATGTTGTAGTTCCATCTGTTACGGTTTAGACAGCCCATCCTACCAACTCTTGGAGTCGGGATATTTGGAAAAAATCTCTCTACTGCCTGTTTTGAGGAGAAGGCTCACTTGCCTGTCTTGCACAGGAGACTGGCTAATGTTGCTAGCTGCTGTTAGTCTGCCCTCATTTTCACTGGAGGCTTTCCCTGCTGGTTTCCTGCATCAAGAGAAGAAGCCAAAGCATGTCTGTCCCTGACTTAGGCAAGGATTCACCTTGGCATACTAAAAGTAAATTCTCTGTGATGACACAGTGTGATCGGAGTAGTTACAAATGGAAACGTTAAATCAGCCCTGCTGTCTTCAAAAGGAAGATATTTTCTGCTTTGTCCGCTGATGGCAAACCAGTTCTGTGGTTGCTAGAAGCATGGTTGTAGTATATCGTTGAGTGTCCTCCTGATGCTAAAGGGCCTCTCTCTCTCCCCCCCCCCTTCCCCCCCTCTCTCTCTTTTTTTTTCTGTGTGGGTAGATCCTTTGCAATGACTGCAATGCCCGGTCTACGGTGCAGTTCCATCTCCTAGGCATGAAGTGCAAAAACTGTGAATCATACAATACTGCCCAAGATGGAAGATGCCGGCTGCCTTTGGAGGAGCAGTGACCAAGATACGCCCTGCATTCGGCTGGACGAGGAAGACTCTGCCATGGAAGAGACTTATCTATTTAAAAGAAAAAAAAACAAAACATTTGTCAGTAAAAATTTGTTCAAAGTTGTCACGGCACCAGTGAAATGGTTACAAGATTCAATTAATGCTGATGCGAAGGAGTTTTGCTAATTGTGCCCCCCTCCCTCGTACCCGGGGCACAGCGCGGTCAGGCCCTTCAGGGGATTCCCCGTCGAGCAGTGCGATGCCCACTGAAAGTTAGTTTCTAGAGAGAGTGGCACCCTTTAAACGAGCCGTTCACTGTGTCAGAGAAGAGTCAGCCTAGAAGAATAACTGATGAGATGCAAAATGGGAAACGATAAGCAGCTGACACAGCAGAAGATGTTTTGGGGCAGCTGAAGGTTGCGAGAGTAACAGGAGGTGGAGGTATAGCTATTCCGGTTGCAGCTGCTGGGGAAAATTGGTAGCTTTGAGAGCGGCCTTTTTACATAAAGCTGACATCTGCAAAGTTTGAGGCGGGTACGTTTTGTTCCTTTTAAATGACGTGTGTGTTCCAGGGCCTCGGAGCCATCGGCGCAAGCGGATGGAGAGGGCGAGCTCGCAGAAATTGCATCCCTTGGCTTGATGCGTTGACACGTGCACGCGCGCGCCGCGCGCACAGGACTCGCTTTGGAACAAGGCTGGCCTGCCCGCGTACGTGCGACGAACGGCCTAAAAAATCAAGCCGCGAGACCCCCCCTTCTCCCCCGGATGCCCATCTGACCTGCTGTCTCTCCACTCGGATTCCTTTGCCAGCTGCAGTCGCGTTTACACCCATTTCTTCCTCATTTTGCTCCGTTCGCTTACAAAGGCCGAGGTGTCGTAGGGTTTTAGGCACGTACGTAGCTTGATGTTTTGCTGGTGAAGTGCACTGAGTGAAGTACGTGCCGGTCTCCTGTCAGGATTGACGTCGGGCCATCTAATCGGGCTGAGCCTGATCTGTTTGCTATACTAACAGCAGTTCATAGAGGCACTCGAGTAGTGCAGGGACCAATTTTCCGTGGTTTTGGGGTTTTTTTTTAATGGTAGCTGATTTCACGGGGGGGAGAGAATGGAGGATGGAGGAGTGTTTTTAAAAAACAAAAACCCAACAGACCTCCCCACCCTTCTTCATGTAATGCCCGAGGTGTTCTGCAGCCTAAATATTACAGGAAGTTCTTTGAGAATTTCAGAACACGCAAATAGTGTTCAATAATGAAATAAAACATCTAAAAAAAGGGCCCAGTTACCCTTCACCATACAGCTACTTGTTTTTAACTTGTTCTACTGTAAAACAGCAGCTTTTCTTAATCCGACGGCGCCCCTTTATATATGAAATACTAGGACTCGGATGACAGCGTTCCCGTAGCTTGCCTTTACTGGAGAATCTTTTTTCTGAAGCACTTTTCTCACTGCTATAAATAAATGTAAAATAACGTCTCTATTAAACCAAATTGTACTATGTGTGATGTGCTCTCCTTCTACACACGTACTGTCTGGAAATTCCCGGCCGGCTTTAAACTATGATTCGATGCTGAAAAACGAGGGTTAGATGTCCGCGTGTGTGACCCCTGGGTCTCTGTTATGACAATAGTGGTATTAACAGCCCCTCTATTTCGGTCTTTCTTTGGTACGGGG